CTCAGAAAAACTCAGGTTCCTTGCTGTCCCGATAAGGCATAGCTTCCCTGCCCTAACTTAAAACTCAGTGAGGACTTAAGAGGGAAAGAATGAGGCAAATATATAGGATTGCAGGATAACAACTGCATTGTTGTGTACTGTGGAAGGGGGAGGGCTCTCTTGGTGGACTCCTGCTGAAGGTGGTCAGTCCACCTGAGAATGGAAGACATGCTTGGTGGGGAGCAGGGTACGTGCTTTTATATGAAAAGAGCCGATGTTAAAACTCATTTGGTAAGGTAAACGTTGTCACATACCTTCACATAAGGGATAGTATATTTTGGATTGCAGTCAAACTTCATTGTGGTCAGACTGGTGAAAATGCAGTTAGGCTTTTGTATTTTAAAGAGGATACAATTCTCATTCGAACTCAGGTGTCTACTGCTACCTTACGTCAGAATGATTTTAGATTTTTTCCCCCCATGAAGTCTCTTCCTATTTTTTATGCTGTAACTTGCCCCCAATCTTTGTCTCTGGAATTTACTCTTTAAATTTTGAAATTAACTAGCATTTTCAAATCTTTATGCCCTTGTCTTTTATATTAACTTTTTCTTATTATTCTTTAGGTAAGAATGATTGATGTTGGCTGATATTGGAGTGTTCATTCCGTTGAAGTAAGTTTCCTTGGAAGGTTTAACCTGTAGAGGATTTTGGGTTTGACTTCTATTTAATGGTTAAATAATTTGATTTAGCTATGTGGGGTGAAAACTGTTTGACTCTTTTTTAAGATGTTCGCCTCTCCTAAGATAATACCCTTATTTATTTTTTTTAATGTGTGTGCATGCGTGTGGGTGTATGTGAGTTGGAAAGAGAAAAGATTGGGATTATTACAAATCCCAATTATTACAAATTATTACAAAGATGTCAAACAATAGAAGAAAAAGATGAAAGATTTAGATCAGAAAAGATGGCTTGAATTAGTGGAGACATGTATTTTCAGTACTCTTAAAATGAACTTTGGACCAATTCAAAATCCCATTCCTTTTTACGTAATAAATTGTGAGGAACAGTTGTCTAGTCATTGGTAGGAGGGAAAACCTGTTTTCAACAGGTTCATTCAACCTGTTGATGTCAGAATAAAATGTACATGTTAAAAATAGTAAAAATGTAATATATGCTGAATATGTTATTTTAACACAGTTAATATTTTAATGATAGGTGGATAAGATATTTGTTCTCAAGACATCACACAGCATGAGCTGATCAAGAAGGAAAGCTACAGCTTGTTAGACTGATGAAATATCTAGGTGAGTTGAGTGATTCTTACTCTGTAAACTGCCTTCAGGAGGACTCTCGGGTGGTAGAAAAATAACTACTCGTGTGGATATCTCATTTTAATTTATTCTACGTTAAAACTTTCTTACAGGAAATATGTTTTTATAGCACACACTTAAATATTTAAACATTTTTACAGCCTTCTGAGGTGTGGTAGACCTTGTCTGTTTGGCTAAAGCCTCACAAAAACAGGACTTAAGTTTTAAATAAAAATATATATCTGTATTCACCTCTGGGTCCATAAGACCATGGAGAAGAAGGTTCAGAAGATTTGAAGTTCCCTGTTTTTCATCAGATAGTTAAATGGTGGGATTACCTATAGTTGAGAATAGATGGAAGAAAAAATATAGATGATGATCTAGAAGGATTGGCAACTCAACTCTGCTGTTCTAGCTGGAAAGCAGTCGTAGACAGATGGACATGACTGTGTTCCAATAAAACTTTTTTACAAAAAGGTGACTTGTAGATGGTACCTTACTGTCCCTTCATCTTACAGAAATTGCATTCGTTCAAGGTATCACTTAGGTATAAAGGGCTGTCATAATCAGTTTGAAATTAACAAAAATGGAAGAATTGAGGCTATATCTTATACCTAGAAAGAGGGTGCCAATTAATGGAGTGTCTTGAATGTTAGAGATCTGCCTTGTAAGAAAGTTCTTGTAGAAAATGGAAGTAAAATTTAATAAACTCATTGGGTGAGTCTGATATTAAAATCATTTCTGCTTCTTTAATCCTTAGTTATCTAAAGATCATTAAATACTATTACTACCACATTACTTGATTAATGTTACTTTGCGGTTAGGAAGTTTACTTGGTTGATGCTGATAAATATTTGAGACCTTGATATGTGATTCTTAGGTCTTTTGGAGTAATTGTTTCCTTTAATTGACAGGATCCGGTGAACTCTGTCCCGAAAACCAGTGAGGAAGAGAGCAAAGAAGAATAAAACAACCTGTTGTTTAATAAAGACATTTTAAAATCAGATTGTCCTTCCATTTGTTTTGGTTTTGTTTTTAAGTAGAGGACTCTTCCGTTTTCCAGAATTTTCTGTATATGTCAGCAACTTGTTTCTAGGTGACATTATAAAAGTCATTCCATGTTGTAAGTATAAAACAAACTACATAATTTAGGACTCTACTTCTTGAGGCCTTTTTGGCAGAGCTGCTTCAGCCTCTTAATTACTAATCAACCTGATGGCCCTACACTATCAAACTCACCTGATTTAGCCATCATTATTTTAAAATTGCCTTCAGTCTTAGTAAGTTTTATTCCTGAGATTACCATGTGATTAGCAGTTAAAAAGCATTTTGTATATTACAAAAGGATTATCAGATTATGATTATGGGTAGTCAAGACATTACTTCACTAACGAGTAGAGACTGAATTGCATCTTGCCAAATAACCATATTTTGGTTACCCTGAGTAGCAATTTCTTTAAAGTGGAGTTGAATTTTATATGCAGTGTAAAATTCTGGAATTTGCTATAAAATCTGCTTGCCCCCTCCATTCTTGAAGCTCTCATTAAAACTTGACAAACTGTTAAAGGGATCTTTCACACCAAATTAATATGAGGTACGTATTAAAAGTAATTCGGGGTTTGCTTTTTGGTGTTTTTTTTTTTGGTTTTGTTTTTTTGGGAGCCGTGCCACATGGCCTGCAGGATCTTAGTTTCCCTGACCAGGGATCATACCTGTGCCCCTTGCAGTGGAAGCACAGAGTCCTAATCACTGGATCACTGGGGAATTCCCTTGTAACTGCAAAGGGAGAGAGTTGAAAGCCACAGCAGTCACTGGTCCCATGGAATTTGCTTTGAAAAGCTGTGTGTAGTCAGTACCAGGGATGAGGCCCAAGATCCTGATCTAAGTGTTCATAATCATTCTGATTATCTGTGATTGGCATATCTTCAGAGAGGCAAATGAGAGATCCCAAATCAAGAATCATCTGAGTCCATGTCTTGGTTCAACTGTTACTCCTTTTTTTTTTTTTTTTTTGCGGTACGCGGGCCTCTCACTGTTGTGGCCTCTCCCATTGCGGAGCACAGGCTCCGGACGCGCAGGCTCAGCGGCCATGGCTCACGGGCCCAGCCGCTCTGCGGCATGTGGGATCTTCCCGGACCGGGCAAGAACCTGCGTCCCCTGCGTCGGCAAGCGGACTCCCAACCACTGCGCCACCAGGGAAGCCCTGTTACTCCTTTCTGATTGCCAGCTTGCTTAGCATCTTTATGGGTCTCAAGGCAAAAATCTACAGTAGAATATATTGGTTAGGAGTTACAGGGTCTTGCTACTGGAGTTCAAGTATTCTGAAATTTGCCCAGTTGCATTATCTGGCAAGTTGCCTGAATTGCAGGTTGCTCATCAATAGGATGAACATACTACTTTTTCTTCATTGGGGTAAAAGGTGGGTGTACATAAATGAACTTGCACGGAGACAAAAACAAAAGGAGCATGTGGCATTTTCAAATTTACTAGTTATCAGGGTTCACAGGCAACAGGTCCAGGATTTTTATATTTTATAGAGAATAGGAAATTGTTAATTTTGGTAAGCTTTTGGACTGTGGAGTCCACAAGGGGAAATTAGTAATAGATCCTTAGGACTGAGGTTTGGGATTCGTGGGAGAGACCATTTAACTTGGACAAGTTGTATATTGGTTTGGCCAAAAAGTTTGAGTTTTTCCATAACCTCTTAACATGATGTTATAATAGGATTAAGAATCCCTGCCTAGGGGCTTACCTGGTGGTCCAGTGGCTAAGACTGCACCCCAAATGCAGGGGGCCCAGCTTCCATCCCTGTTCGGGGAACTAGATCCCACGTGCCACAACCAAGAGCTTGCATGCAGCAACTGAAGATCCTGCATGTCACGAGACCCAGTGCAGCCAAAAAAAATTAAAAATTCCCTGCCTAGCAGGGTTGTATGTTGATTAGTTGGTATTTTAAGTGTGTTGGGAGTCGAGTGGGGAGCTTAAGCTCAAAACAAGTCCTCAAAGTTTTTTTTTTTTTTTTTTTTTTTGCGGTATGCGGGCCTCTCTCTGTTGTGGCCTCTCCCGTTGCGGAGCACAGGCTCCGGACGCGCAGGCTTAGCGGCCATAGCTCGTCGGCCTAGCCGCTCCGCGGCACGTGGGATCTTCCCGGACCGGGGCACGAACCCGTGTCCCCTGCATCGGCAGGCAGACTCTCAACCACTGCACCACCAGGGAAGCCCCAGTCCTCAAGATTTTTAACAAATGGTTTATCAGGTATGTAATGTTTTGCATCTAAAGTGGGTTGGGTTCTAAACGTGCTTGAGGTAAGAGGGAATGAGGGGAAAAAGACAAAGATCCAAATAGAAAAACATTCCGTGTTCATTGACGTAGCATTCCCCAAAATAATTTACTCATTTACCATGTTCCAGCTGACTTCTTGAAATTGATAACGCTGATTCTAAGTTTCATATGGACCCTTACTTCACACCTATACAAAAGTTAACTAAAAAAGAGTGAAATGCCTAAATGTAAGAATGAAATTATAAAACTTAGATTATTAAATGACACCAAAAACATGAACAACAAAAAAGGCAAATTGGATTTACCAAAATTAATCACTGCTTCAAAGGACATCATCAAGAAAGTGAAAACTCATGGAATGGAAGAAAATATTTGTAAATCATAACTGGTTAGGGACTTGTATCCAGAATATGTAAAAAATAAACCCAATTGAGAAATAGGCAAAGGATTTAAATAGAAATTTCTGCAAGGAAGGTATACAGAAATGCCAATTAAGTACATGAAACGTTGCTTGGCATCATTAGTCAATAAGAAAGTGCAGGGAATTCCCTGGTTGTCCAGTGGTTAGGACTCTGAGCTTCCACTGCAGGGGTCCTGGGTTTGATTCCTGGTCGTGGAACTAAGATCCCAAAAGCTGCTCGGTCTGGCCAAAAACAAACAAAAAAAGCAAATCAAAACCCCGAAATACCACTTCAAACTTTCAGCTATAAGATGAATGTCTGAGGATCTAATGTATAACATGGTGACTCTAGTTACCAACACTGCTTTATAGAATTGCTTCGGTCACTTGATAATCAAAATTGCCTTCACTAGTTCAGCTGTCTTCATCATATACTAGATTTCTTTATATATCTGGCCCAGTGAACTATCCATTCCTACATAGATGTCATATTTTAAATTTCATTGCTTTATATGAGTTTCAGTAGTTTTTTTTTTTTTTTTCTAAAGAAAAGATTTTCTTTGGTTTTCTATGGACTCATTTTATTTAGTGGAATAAGTATATACATCTTAGGGTTCTTCAGAGAAACAGAAGCAATAGATTATACGCACACATATATATTTTGGGGGGCATACTTTTTTTGGGGGGGCATACTTTTGATTAAAAAGCAAAATATACCTTCCACATATTTGGAGGAAAACCAACTAACATTATAACTAGCATTAAGGAAGAACTGAGCAGATACTAATAAAGGTAATAAAACAAGATGGGTGTAAAAGCAAAGGTCTCTGGCGCGTGAAAGTGGGTAGTCCATGGAACTGGTATAGACTTCTACCAAGAGACATACTGGTGGACACTCAGGCGGAGTCAAACAAGGGAAAAAGAAGAGAGGGCTTTTGGTTTTGTATGCATATATAAATTTAAACATGCGTGTTGGAGAACTTTCAGGGTGTTGGAGCTGTGCTGCTTCTCCTGAGGGCTCAAGTAATGTCATTGTAATTAATGAAGCACGTAATTGTATACCCACCTTGTTTTGACTGTTTGCTATTTTGTAAGTATCACTGCATGAAGAAAACCTTGAACTAAAGAAAAGGGGCAAGGAGGCTCACAGGGAGGCTCTCTACCACTGTCCCATGTGAGCTGGCCTGGGATTGTAGTAATCTAGAAACATTTTTCAGCGTGCTTATTGCCCTTGCCATCTCCCTAGAAGATTTGGCCTGCCTAAAGAGGGAGCAGAATGAAGAGTTAACACCATTTCCTAGATATAAGAATGGATTGAGATAAGAAGTTTACTTTCAATACTTTGCTACTTTTTAATGTTCCTAGTAGATGGTAAGCACTCGGGAAACTGGTAGATACTTAATACTGGTAAGTTTAATTTGGCATTGCATACATTCTAACTCCTCTGCCTGCCTTCTGCTTAATTGAACTCATCTGGCAAAAATCAGTCATGATAAAATCCAATTCTCTGTCTAATCCATATACATTGACTGTCTTTAAAGTCTGCTTACTGATCTCTAGGGATCCCTTTTTGCTGCCCAGCAACCACACGATTTTTGTCTTTATTAAATTCTATTTCATGCCATATCCTCTTTCTTCAAAGCTCCAATGCCTCTTCTTTCATCCTCATTTTCAGAAGATGACCTTTTCTGTTTCACTGAGAAAATAGAAACACTCAGAACTTTCACAAGCTTCTACAGTCATATCTCCCCACCTACTTACATCTGTACCTACATTTTCCTTTTTTTTTTTTAAAAAAAATGTACTTATTCATTTTGGCTGTGCCGGGTCCCAGTTGCATCATGTGGGATCTTCGTTGTGGCATGCAGGATCTTTAGTTGTGGCATCTGGGCTCATAGTTGCAGCATGCGGACTCTTAGTTGCGGCATGCATGTGGGATCCAATTCCCTGACCAGGGATCGAACCCCAGCCCCCTGCATGAGGAGTGCAGAGTCTTACCCACTGGACCACCAGGGAAGTCCCTGTACCTACATATTCTTTTTCTTCTGTTATAATGGATGAACTGTCCATATTTCTAGCTGAGGCCAACTTCTTCACCAAAGAGGATGGCAAATAACCACATGGAAATATCCCCAACATCATTACCTTAAGAGAAATGCAAATTAATGGGGGTATATATATCTATATCTATCTATCATCATCTATCATCTAATCTCCAGTGGGATATAACTACACACCTATCAGAATGGCTAAAATAAAAAGTAGTGACAACATCAAATGTTGCAAGGGATGTAGAGAATCTGGATCGCTCATACATTGCTGGTGGAATGTAAAATGGTACAGCCACTTTGGAAAATAGTTTGGCATTTTTTTTGGTTGTTTTTTTTTTATACCAGCAATTTTTTTTTGTTTTTTTTGTTTGTACCAGCAATGGTACTCCTTGGGCATTTAGACTAGAAAAATGAAAATTTATGTTTACACAAAAATCATGTATACAAATGTTCATAGCAGCTTTATTTGTAATAGTCTAAAACTGGAAACAATCCAAATGTCCTTCAAAGCGTGAACTGTAAAAAAAAAAAAAATAGTGAACTGTTAAACAAGTACATCAATAACATTATTCAGGGACAAACAGGAGTGGACTATTTAGACACGTTAACAACTTGGGTAGATTTTAAGGGTATTATGCTGAGTGAAAAAAGCAGTCCCAAAAGGCTATATGCTCTATGATTCCATTCATTCTTGAAAAGACAAAATTATAGAGATGGAGTATAGATTAGTAGTTGCCAATGGTTAGGGATAGAAGGGAGAGAGGAAGGTTGGTGTACTTATAAAAGTATCACAAGGGAGCATTGTGTTGGTGGAATTGTTTCGTATCTTGACTATAGTGGTGATTACATAAATCCATACATGATAAAACTGCATAAAAGTAAACACAAGTACACGAGTACATGTAAAACTGGTGAATCTGAATAAGATCAGTGGATGGTATCAATGTTTAAATTCCTGTTGTGATACTGTATTATAGTTATGCAAGATGTTACCATAGGGGGAAGCTGGGTGAACGATATATGAGATCCTTCTGTATTATTTCTTGCTACTTTATCTTAAAATATCTTAATTTAAAAGTGTTACATAAGATGGTTGATAGTATCTATGTCTTGTTTCTGATACTTTTGTGGTAGTGCTCCTAATATTTCACCTTTAAGCATGATGTTATACATACTATTGTCTAGGTCTATACATACACATTAATAAATATATTACCAACATTTTATTGTTAACAGAAAAAACCTTTAATTCTAATTTTACCAAGGTTTTAAAAATCAGGCACAAAAGTTAAAGCTTTATCAATGCTTTTATTGTATATATTGATATCATTTTCTTAATTTGATATATTTTGTTGCATTTCATAAATAAATTTCCTAATATTGAAACACCTTTACATTCTTGACATGAACTGCAATGGGTAATAGTGCATCACTTAAAAAATTTTTTATAATAGAAAACTTCATATGTAAAAGCTGAGTAACAGGGACTTCCCTGGTGGCGCAGTGGTTAAGAATCCGCCTGCCAATGAAGGGGACACGGGTTCGAGCCTTGGTCCGGGAAGATGCCACGTGCCGCGTAGTAGCTAAGCCTGTGCGCCACAACTACTAAACCTGTGCTCTAGAGCCTGTGAGCCACAACTACTGAGGCCCGTGCACCAAAACCCCATGCTCCGCAACAAAAGAAGCCACTACAGGGAGAAGCCCGCTCACCGCAATGAAGAGTAGCCCCCGCTCACCACAATTAGAGAAAGTCCGTGCGCAGCAATGAAGACCCAAGGCAGCCAAAAAAAAAAGCTGAGTAACAATACAATGAATCCCTATGTACCTATCACCTAGATTCAACAACTATGAAATCACGGACAATCTTGTTTCATCTTGACCCTCAAGTACTCCCCCTCTCCCGTTATTATTTTGAAGCCCTAGATTTCATGTAATTTCATCCACTAATTCCTGAAGTATTTTTGTCTAAAAGTGACTTTTTATTTATTGGCTGCGTTGGGTCTTCGTTGCTGCACCCGGGCTTTCTCTAGTTGTGGCAAGGGGTCTACTCTTCGTTGTGGTGTGTTGGCTTCTCATTGCAGTGGTTTCTCTTTGGTGCAGAGCATGGGCTCTAGGCACGCGGGCTTCAGTAGCTGTGGCACGCAGACTCAGTAGTTGTGGCTTGTGGGCTCTAGAACGCAGGCTCATTAGTTGTGGTGCACGGGCTTAGTTGCTCCGCGGCATGTGGGATCTTCCCGGACCAGGACTCGAACCTGTGTCCCCTGCATCGGCAGGCAGATTCTTAACTACTGCACCACCAGGGAAGTCCCTAAAAGTGACTTAAAAAAAAACACATAACCACAACGTCATTACAAATATCCATTGTTCACAGTTGCTTAAAGATCTAAACATGGTTTACACACTGCAATTCATTGACATGACTTCTACTTCTTTAACCTGTAGGATTCTCTGCCATCTTATGTTTTCCTTGTAAGTTTTTGTTAAAGTTTTTTGTTTATCCTGTGCAGTCTCCTAGGATTTGGATTTTGCTGGTTAATCCCATTGATGTTGTTTAATATGTTCCTCTGACCCACTGTATTTCCAGTAAACATGCAGCTAGATCTAGGGTCTTGATAAGATTCAAGATCAAATTATTTGGCAAGATTACTTCATAGGTAGTGCTATATCAGTCAAAGTCCAGCCAGGAGACTGGAACCACATGTTATTTGAACTATAGAACTAGAAAGGCTAGAGCACTAAGGTATTACAGCAGCAGCAACTGTAGGAAGCTGCTAGGACTGGGAGAGAAAAGAGAAGTTGGAATTATTAATACTTAGAAGCCTGGAAGAAGAGTCCTTAAATTCAGACCTCTGAGAAGGATGCATATCTCAGCTGGTGAATATGTCTATTAGAAGTACACAATGTCTGGCTGTATTAGTGATGTTAGCAGCCAATGATGATCATTGCCTAGATGCATTAATTAAACAAGGTACTATTTTAATTTTATTCATCATTTAATACTTGCAAAACTTTACCATGCTTTACATCAGTGCCTCTCAGTCAATCTGGTTATCTGAACCCTATTCTAATACATTCTTCAGGTAGGGGTCATGGAAACAATGTTCCATGAATTTGCATATTGATGATAGCCTGTGACTCTTACGCTTTAAAGTCCATTTGGTTGGATATAAAATCCTGAGTAAGTTCATATTACTTGTCTTTTGGCATAGAGTGTCATTATGGAAAAGTGTGAAAATAATCGGATTTACCTTCCCTATACCTGCTTTTTTTTTTTTTTTTTGGCATGGACTCTCAAAGGACTTTTTCTTCAAAAAACCCTTTAAAAATTTTTTCATTCTTTTTTTAGGCCATTACTCAGCACTGACCATCCTGGGTCAGTGTTCCTAGTTGCACAGTGTGTCTTTTCAATACATAAAGTCTTTCTAATTTCAAGCAAGTTCTCTTGAATTCAGTGCATCAGCCAGGGTTCAGTCAGGAAGCAGAAGCCATACTAGTTATCTGAACAGAGAGAATGTAAAAACACATTAAGTATAAAGTTAACTAAGTTACTGAAAGGATAAAGAGAACATCAAGATGTCATGGAGGTAGCAGCTAATATCCTGAGATGAGAGAACAAAGAAAGGAGATAGGAATTTAAATTTAGAGGGGCCTCATGGAGCTGGAAGTTACAGCTCTTGAGGAGGGATGATGCTGGTGCTGGTCTCTGAGCTTGGGCCTAAGACCTAGATCCCTGAAGAGGGGCTGCAAGTGTCTCTGTCAGAAGGAAGCATGACGATAAGGCTTCTGCAAGTGTAATAGAAACTGCAACCAGATTCAGCTGCTGCTAGGGAAGGAAGTGCTGGATGAAGACAGCATTGCTGGCATAATGCTCACAAGAACCACAAGCAGACATAAAGCTCACAGAAAGTAGACAGGATGGAACAAATCCTTTCCTTCAGACTTGCAGTCTCCCTCTAGTGACTCCTATTGGCAGAGGCTAACATAAATCCTGCTAAAGCAGAAATGATCACCACAAAGCCGAGTATAGAGGGGTGGGTGCATAGAAAATAGCATAATAACTGGCACATAGTTTTTAGTATTTGCTCTTTCCCATTGCTTTGGATTTCTTTGCAGACTCTACTTATATGGATATCAGGTTTTCAATATGTGATATCACTCTTCTCTTGATTTAAAACACTTTCCTTCTTTCTATTTCCACCCTCTATTTCTCTTAGGGATTATCCATTGTTTATTCACTTTTGAGTTCCTTCTAGATTAGTTTTCACTTTTACAGTGACTTTTATTTCTTTTAATTTCTAATGCTTTCCTGAATTCTTGTCATTTATCTTTTTAAACCTTTCTTTTTATCCACTCATCTGAGTTTTTCTAATTCTTGTTTATAGTTCTTTTATAGCTTTTATCATTTAATTTCTTTTAGCTTGGTTTGAAACAGGTTTTTGTTTTGTAAGGATTTACTGTTTTTTATTCTTATAATTTTGTATATTTCACAATTCTTTTCTGTTGCTAAGTTTTTTTTTTTTTTTTTTGTTGCTAAGTTTTAAGTGAAACATTTACCTGTACTTTTGAGACAGAATTAACTTTTCCGTCTTCAAGGTTCATGAAATACTATTATTTTCACAAAGTGACTAAAATAAATGACCTAGTTCTGAGACCTGCTTCCTTTGCCTCTCCCTCACTTCACACTATACATTGTCTTTCCTTTGACCCTATTGTCCCTGTCCTGCAGAATTTGGTGTATACAGCCAGCAGTTTCTCCTTGAAAGGGTTCTGTTTTGGAATGAAGCTTACATTTGTTAGTTTCAAGAGCCCATAAGGACCTAGATTACTCCAACAAATTTGGAATTTAGCACAGTCCCCTTAACTCACCTGCAAATTGGCATCTCCAGGTCACTTTTTGGCTGCAGTTTTCAAATTGGCCAGCCATGTTTTCCAGTGGAAACCTGTTGATTTGGGAGATCTATTCTCAAGGCCATCAGACGTCCCACTGATCTTCATCCATGACCTTCCATACACATAAATGGCACTACTCAGGTTTTACAGTTGCTTTTGAGTTTGTCACTATCTAATTTTATTTTGGGATTGTGGGGATACCTTGTCACCAAGACTTGCTATAGATGCCATGCATGGGATTTTGCTTTTATGAAGGGATTTGGGAGATTAAAAAAATACACTGCTATTTCTGTCATCTTCTATTCTTCAATGTACTTCTGGTAGTTAATTTTTTATTTAGGAATATCTGTGATAACAGTTTATATAAAAGGTAGTAGAGCACAGTGATTAGAAGCATGAGCTATGGAGTCACACTGCCTGGGTACAAATCCTAGATTCACTGTTTACTAATTATGTGATCTTTAACCTCTGTGTCTTAGTTTCTCCCATAAAATAATAGGTTGTGAGAAGTGAAATAACATAAAGCACTGCGAAAAGTACTAGGTTACATAGTAGGTATTCAACAAAGAAAGCTGGTGTGTTTTTTTTTTTTTTGGCCACACTTGCAGGATCTTAGTTCCCCGACCAGGGATTGAACCCAGGCCCCCAGCAGTGGAAGCACTGAATGCTAACCACTGGACCACCAGGGAATTCCCAGGAAAGCTGTTTTAATTACTGTAGTTATCCTTTTTTTCTTTTTCAGGTCTAGCTCTTATTTTACTGGCTTTATAGTAGACTATTAAAAAAGTAAAAAAAAAAAGGGAAAAAACCCACCCTACCTCTTGAAATTAACTCTTGCTTCCACAGTAAGATAGAAATCACAAATGCGAATAGCTAGAAAATAATGAAAATGAGAAGAACACATGGTAGGCAAATGTCACTTCAGAGGAAAGTTCATAGTGTTAAGCACTTTCATTACCAAACAGAAAAGAATGAAAATGTAAGCAATAAGCATTGAATACTAAAGATTAACTGCCTTCTATTAAAGTAGAAATCAATGTATTTTTTAAAGAGAGTAAAATGACCATATTAAATGTTGGCAAGGATGTGGAACAACAGACACAGATATTGTGGGTGGGAGTAGAAAAATGGTATAACTGATAAGTCTAAGTAAAGTGGAAGATGCACATAGCCTTGGCCCATCAAGTCCACCTCTAAGTAAGTACCTTAGAACAGACCTTCCCAACTTGTGGGCCAGTAGGGTAAAGCCTCAGGTGGCCACAGCTCGCAAAGCCTCATCTTTTATGCTATGAAGCAACAAATATTCTTTTCTGTATTATCATCTATCTATCTACATGAACAGTTGGTAAGCAACCTCTTCTAATATCTTTCTTGGATTTCCACATTAGAAAGCCAAGTTTCATTGGAGTCAAGGCCTTATTTTATTCTCTGCTGGATATCCAGCAGCTAGAATAGCATCTAGTATATTGTACTTGCTCAATAAATATTTGTTCAATGTGCATACTATATAAAAAAAAGGATCACTGGAATATTATAAAAATGCAAAATCAGACATATAAAATATCCATTTAAATAAAGGATGTCCACCCTAGAGGAGTGGGATAGAGAGGGTGGGAGGGAGACACAAGAGGGAGGAGATACGGGGATATATGTATATGTATAGCTGATTTACTTTGTTATACAAAAGAAACACACCACTGTAAAGCAATTATACTCCAATAAAGATGTTAAAAAAAAAAATTTCAGCGCGCACACAAAATAAATAAATAAATAAATAAAGGATGAACTTGTATACTCATATAATGGAATGGTATTCAGCAATTAGAATAAACAAACTAGAAATCCACATATAAATCTCAAACAACACTGAGTGAAAGAAAGCAAATTGCAGAAAGATAAGCACAATGCAACTTAAAGTTTTATATAAAGTTTACAATCATGTGCAACAAGGCTATGTATTAAGTATAAAATTATATAAGCATGGAATGATGCACACCAAATAATCATTGCCTCTATGGAAAAACAGAAATATTATCAGGAAAAGATTTACAAGGGAGCTTTAACCCAATCTATAATATTTTATTTCTGAAATAAAAATCTGAAGCATGGCAAAATGTTAGGATTTAATAGAACTAAATGTTAATTATTACGTTCTTTTATTTTTATGTTAAAAATCAACCATAATTAAAAAGTAGAGTAGGATTGATAAATAAACCTAAGAATGTGTATGGAAAACAACTAAATAAAATAAATCACTAGTTTTGGCCTAATCAAGAAAGAAAATGTGTATAGAAGATCAATGAAGAAAGCAAGTATAGGTATATAGAAGAAATTAAGAGAATACTTTCTACAACTCTAAGCAAATTCATTTGAAAGAAGGACTCAATGAAATAGATGCTCTTTCTAGAAAAATTACAAGTTATAAAAGAAAACCAGCCTCAGATATATCTACCACTAAATTCTTTCAAATCTCTGAGGAACACATTTCCCTTGTTATCTAAACTTTTCTAAAGTGTTAAGACAGAAAGTTCTTTCTTTCAGAATTATTTGAAAATTAGTCATATTTTCATAAAGTAGATTAGGAATTCCTATTGTGTCACCCAGCTAAGTCAACCAAAACCACAGCGATATTTAGAGTTTTAATGTTTAATATATGAGGTTTCACAGAAAAGGAAATACAAATGGCTCAAGCAGATACGCAACCTTATTTTTAAGTGAAAATAAAAAATTCTATTGAGATTTAATCTCCACAGAGATTAACATATCATTATTCAACAGACTGGCAAAGATCAAAATGTTTGTTAATACTTTATAAAGATTCGAGGAAATAGGAACTCTCACACGTTGGTGGGAGTATAAAATGATACAATCCTTATAGAAAGCAATTTGCCAATATCTATGAAAAATAAAAATGTACAAATCTTCTGACCTAATAACTTCAGTTTAAAATTTTTTCTCACAGCAACTCACTAATGTGCAACATGACCTATGTACACGGTTATTAAATGCAGCATTATTTGCAAGAGTAAGAGACTGGAAAGAAAATGTTTGTCAGTAGGGACTGCTCCAATATATTATGGTACATCCATACAATTAAATCTTACGCAGTTATTAAAAAAAGAATCAAGAAACTCTATGTACTGATATGGGACAATCTCAAAAAATCATGTTAAGTGAAAACGGCAAGCTGAAGAACAATGTGCACTGCACAGTACATTTATGATTAAGTATCTCCAGAAGGATATTTAAAAAACAGTTAATACTTCTGGGAGGGGAAACTGGGTACTAAAAAAGGGAAGGAAACTTTTCACTGTATATCATTCTGTGTCATGAATTTTGAACCAAATGAATGTTACATGTTCTGATGAAAAAACTTTTTTTCTTAAAAGACAAAAATCTGAAATAAAAACTGATAGCCAACAGAAATACAAAATTCTTTCAGGTAAATTCAAGTTAGCAAGTTTTATATTTCTTTCACCTGTAGGATAAACTTTTCCACAGTTCCATTGAGTCTTTCAGGTTCCATCAGTTTATTTACCAATTCCTGCTCAACAGCCATTAGGGCTAAGCCACTAAGCTTTTCTTGTCCCCTGGTATGACATAAATATGTTTTAAGACGAGACAGTGTAGAAAATGAATTTTCAACACTTGCTGAAGTAACTGGCCAAGACAAAGCAATATATAATAGCACTGATATGCAAGGAATATTATTGTGAAGACCATGCTGAATAAACAAATGGCCAAGATTGCTGAAGCTGATGCAATCATAATCTAGGACAAAGTTGAGCTTTGCATATTGCCGATAAAATCTAAGTTCTGGGATGATGTCTGCATCAAGTTTATAAAATTCTTGGACATCTTTAGCTGTTGCTTCATTTAACGGTTCATTCCATTTAAGTAACAGTTCTGAAATCTGCTTCATTTTACAATAATCAAACTCTGAAAAACACAATTTTAAATTTTGTAATATAGTATCCAAGCCTTGGTAATAAATATTAATTTTATATTGTTCTTCTGTTGAGGTAGGAAAAAACATACTGTCTGAATTGCTAGGATCTATTGTTTTCTGAATTTTTCTTCTTTTCTGAAATGAAGGCCTTTCAACTTCAAAACCTTTACAGGTTATTTTTTGACATACTTCCTCTGCTCCATCCCAGATAGTTTTGAAATAAGTATCATTTCTTTCAGATGATAAACATTCCAAAATTGCTTCTATTTTTGAAGACAAAGAAAAAATGTCTATGGTTTCACTTTGAAGCTCTTTGGAAAGAATTCCTGTAACACTTAGTACTCGATAAAGAAATTTCAAACAAAAGATAAATTCAAATTTGGAAACCAATGCCAACAAATCACTCAATTCATCAGCTAAACTTGTGTTTGAAGAATGGCTTGATAGAACTTCCAGTGTTTCAATAACCTCTGGAAGACCCTCAATCACAGATAGTAACGTACGATCGTGGACTGTCCAACATGATTGTGATGTATGTTTTTTGCATGTTTTGTTTTGACTTAGCTTATAAATGTTTTGAAAATTTACAGACATTTCCCCATGAATAGTGTTGAACAAAGAACTGAGAGTATTTAGAGCACTTCGGAGCTCTTTTACTTCTTTGCAAAACCTAATCACCGCCAAATCCAAAAAATGTGCATAACAATGCAGGTATAAAGCTCTTGGCTCTTCCTTCTTGAATTCTGCTGCAATTTTATTAAATTTTCCCCTCCAGTTACTGGTGCTATCATAGGCCTGGCCTCGTATTTTATCCAAATCAACTCCAATTTGCTGCAGGTAAGTTTTAATACTCCTGTGTAAGTTGGTCCCAGTCATCTCTTCAACATCTATGAAACCCAAAAATCTTTCTTTAATTAATATAGCCTTTGATGTTTTCTGTGGGTATCTTACACAAATAGAGAATTGCCCTTTAGTGGCACTATCAGTTGTTTCATCACATATTATTGAAAAAGCTGAGGAGACATTGATCTCATTTACAATATCTTGTAACATTTCAGTCTTTATTATTTCAATAATATCATTTTGAATTTGTGTACTATTGTAGAAGTCAACTTGTGAATTCGTAAGTCGAAATATTTCTTCTCCTTTATCTTTTGCTCGGATTTCTAACAATTCTAAAAAATTGCCTTTATTCACAGATGAAACAGACTGGTCATTTCCTCTTAGGAGTAAACACTGCTTTCCAAGAAATAAAATATTTTCAATTATAAGCTTTAGGTACTTTTTATTTCCCTCAATCTGTTTTGAATGATTAGATAAACTGTCATTAACGGCTTCATCACAAAACTGGTATTCCCTCCAAAATTGCAATGACTTTGAATGCATTTCACTTTTTTCATGCTTTCTGAATTTTTCCAGAGTTTTTTTCCAATTGGAAATTCCTTGGGCTGCAAATGACTCTCCTCCATAGCTAAATTTTTTTTGGCAGAACAACTGACACGAATAACAGAATATCACATCCTTTTTAATACTGTTTTCTAATTGCTGAAAATTTGAACACCAAGATTTTTTAATACTTCGTGATTTACCTTTAACTTTTTGTACTTTGGATGTAAATTTTGGGTGACGTAGTCCATCTCTTATTTTCATGGATTTCATACTGTTTGTAGCATCTTGGTTTGACACATGATCTTTTTGTACTTCTATACTGGAGCCAGTTGTATGCTGACTGAGTACTGATGAAGATGGTGCAAGGCTTGGCTGTTCCACATTACTATTAGCAACACCATTACTTGATTCACTGGGTGAAGTCTTAGAAATCTTGGGAGAAAATGACAAAATAACATTTCTTTGAACAGTTTTCAAATAATCAATTAAAATATTGAACATATCCATTCTAATAACAAAAAAAATCAATGGGTGAGTAACAGTATGAGCTCCACTAGGGGGAAACATTAACAATTATTTATAACTTAGTATTCTTATTAATAATTTCAAGTCAAACTTGAGATTTGGGAAACTGAACGTGAATAACAAAAGGTGTTTATTGCTCTACATTTTTGAGCTCTATGATCAAATCAGGAATGAATATGCTCAAATACACACATGCACAATATGTTTAAAAAAGAAAGCTTAAAAAAGATAGTAGCAAAAACAATTAAGAATAAAACTTACATCCTCAACATTTGCTGTTACTGAAGAAACTGTACCTGTTAAAATAAAGCATAAATTCTAGATCTTATACCATAATCTATAAAATAGCATCATTAACTATATAATTGCTTATTTCATATTAGGCAACCAAAAGAAAACTTAAAGACAGATTCTATATTCTAATCAAGTATGGCAAAACAGTGTATATGTCAAAGAATGTCACATCAATTTTTACCTTGTAATACATCAGAGTTCATGACGGGCAGGGCTTCATGAGTATCTGCCAATGACACTATATTGCTTATAACTGGAGTTGTATCTTTCTTCGGAGAAAGGAGATCTGTTGAAGCATCATGCACCATGGAAACATTTACTGATAAAAATTAAATGATATCTTATAAACCAGGCAGAATCAATCAGTCAGAAAGCACTGTTTAATTACAAGTGTTTCAACAAATAACGCAAATATCTATCAATAATTGCTTTAAGTATTAGTGGGTACTGGAGTAATTTTTATTAGGGCTCAGGAATATCCAGGTTCTTTAGGATAAGATTAATATCAACATTAAACAGATAATTTACATTTCCCATCATTTTATATCTTTTACCTTTGCACGCAGTTTATCAGTCCTTTTATACTATTTGCTTGAACTGTCAAACAAATCTTTACTATGAAATTACCCATGAAGAACATTGCTAGAGAATCTCCTAATGGGTATCATTTCTAACCATTCCAGGATTCATAAACTCAATATGAATGGAGCTGAGTTGGTGTCTAAGCTAGTATTAAAGAGCTTTCTATAATAAGCCAGTCTGCATGATGCACAAGCCCCAGGGGAATCATTCATTCCACCGTCTATGAAATTAGCACCACTGGTCCTATATGAGGCTCTTTGATAGAATACACAGTTGGCTCTGGATTCTCTGTCCCTTTCTATTAGTGAACATCAAAGTATTTCCGACTAGCTCTACTCCATGTGAAAAATGTAACTAATAGCCTTGTTTTTACAAAGCAGGGCTAACTAGAAGATTCTATATTCTAATATGACAATCTTTACAAATAAATATTAAATCTCTGGTGATGAAGTAGCCTTCCTTTTATGCAAAAATACTGGAAACTGTTCTTTGAAACAAGTTTTAGATTGTTTTGACTTTTAAGTCAGTTTAATTTAGAAATGAATCAAGGTTATAAATTAAAGGAAAGCAGTAATATTCTTCAACAGTTACTAAATCTCTGGTAACTGCTAAAAAAAAACAGTACCTGTAGATGATTCCATCTTAGCTTTACTGTAAGCAGAGAAACAATGAACAGAGCAGAAAAGCTCTGTCTTCCCCGAGTCATTGGTAGTCTCAATCATTTCGTCTGAGGGTTTCAGTGATTTGCAAAGAACAGATGTAAGTGTTTTGGCTGGTTTCTGTTAGAGAGTAAAATAATATTCATATTCCTGGTATATGACACATGCTCACAACCATTGCTTAGTTGAAATATTATAATAACAATGAAGTCATATTTTTGTACTTTCTTAAAAACAGGAAAAAGGCACTTATAGATTGTAATGACTAAAATGAAGGAAACTGATCAATCTATTAGGTAACTATTTGTATTATTTGTCAGGTATATTAATAGCTATAACAATACATATGCAAGCAGTGAAGAAAGTGGTCATAAAAGATGTTCATCATCCCAGGCAACTAAAGCCAACTGGACAAATCAACAAAAGTCTTATAATTACAGGTCTGTCTTTAATGCCAACTTGCGCATCAACTAAGGAAAGCCTTTTACTGGTGCTAAGGAGGAGCCAAAAAAGGGTGCCTAACACACATTACAAGATGCTGTGGGAAACACTGTTTTGCTAGCCTAACTTCATGGTGAAAATTCAAGCACGTTGTAAAAAAGCAGCACACAAGCAGTAAGAGGTACAGAACATAGTGCATTCTGTAAGCAGTAAGCTTGCAAAGGAAAAGGATAGAAAATGGGGAGGTTCACCACGTACTCTTCTGGGTGAAACAGGAGCCATCATTCTTGGACTTAATACTAAGTTAACACTAACGACAATGATGAAATGGAACAGCTTTTAGGGGTACACAAAGTGCAAAGACAAATGAAAATCTTACACAGATTTTCTTTTTCTGGGAAAGAATGGGATATTGGCAAAGGAACAATGAAACAAAAAGTAGAGTGTAATTTTGAAAATTACTATTTTTGTCCCTTATTAGTAGGAATTTTCATATTTTACGAAATATAACAACTCACCAATGTTTACATTAACCAACAGTAGTGGTATTAATTTATAACTAATTTATTACTCATGTGGGAAAGCTAATACTTAACTAATGTACTCTAGTAAGAAGATATGGCCAGGGACTTCCCTGGTGGCACAGTGGTTGAGAAGATTCACAAAACATTAATATCTATCAATATTTAAAGTATCCCTGTATGTTGACCCAGAAATTTATACTTTTAAGAATTTTGGGGGCTTCCCTGGTGGTGCAGTGGTTAAGAATCCGCCTGCCAATGCAGGGGACACAGTTCAAGTCCTGGTCTGGGAAGATCCCACATGCTGCAGAGCAACTAAGCCCACGCGCCACAACTACTGAGCCTGCGTGCCACACCTACTGAAGCCCACGTGCCTAGAGCCCATGCTCCGCAACAAGAGAAGCCACCGCAATGAGAAGCCCGCACACCACAACGTGCAGTGAGTAGCCCCCGCTCACTGTAACTAGAGAAAGCCCACACGTGGCAGTGAAGACCCAACGCAGCAATAAATAAATAAATAAGTTAATTAATTTTTAAAAAGATGTGGCCAAAATAATTACAATTATACCAATCAACTTTTTAAAATAAAAAGCCACCCCATTTTTGCATTTTTGGATTCATAAGTTTGAGTGCTTTACTAATTTTTTTTTTTTTTTGGCCACGCTGTGCAGCTTGCAGGATCCTAGTTCCCTGACCAGGGACTGAACCCAGGCCCTTGTCAGTAAAAGCGCAGAGTCCCAGCCACTGGACCGCCGGGGAATCTAATTCTTGATTACAGTTCACTAACAATATGGATTTTCTACATTATCACAATCACACAATATCTTAAATGCAGCAGGGCATAGTGTTAGGTGGTGCTTCTTAACTCATCTAGCCAAATAAGCCGTGCCCCATCACATATGCTGAATAACTGAGTACTCAAATACAGGCTCTTAAAAACAGGAGAAGGTCTATTTATTGAGTGTGAGGGGTAAAGAAAGAAAAGAAGGAATGGCATTAACTGCTTTCAGACAAAGGGTTCTATGCTCTCTGTTCTCCCATTTCTGGTCCCAAGGCAGGGTACTCTCATGGTGTGGGCATTCTGTCATAGAAAAGCTGTGGCTCACAAATGACCTATTTGAACTGTGGCTTGTTAAGACTCCCATCTTCAGTTGCTTGTTTTTAAGGAAGAATTTATAGGGATACAATTGGGTCTCAAAGCGTCACCAGAACAAGCAAGACATGGGACAGTCCACCTCATGAAAGGGGCTCAGACCACTATTGTGTTCAGCTCACTTAGTCCTGCAAAGCAGGGTCAGCTTCTCTGCTCTCAGAGCCACCCATCCAAGGCTCTCCTATCAGAAATAGGGGATTATTTCTCATTGGTTTACTGCCTACTAGGACTCCTGATTCAGAAAAAAGCATGTGACATTCTTGATTTATCTTAACCTTGCTTAGGTGTAAGAAATACATGGAATTAAAAAATAAAAAACATTTCTGTGGTTGAGTCCTACTGACCAATAGACTATTGTTATGCTTGCTATCTAACTTATAAATAAGCTTCCCTCTGATTGCCTTTTCTTCAAGACAAGATCATCACCCTGAGATTCTTTAGGAAAATCTCCATGCAGCATTTATCATGAATTGTTATGTGAAAAACAACTGTCAGAAGTCTTTTATATCATCTCCTTCATCATCTTACCAACGAAAAATATTCCCAATGGTACTAAAATCTATACCGCCAGTTTCCTAAAGTGGAAACATTCACAAGCCAACTAATGGAAGGAACTCAACCTTCCATTTTCCATTTGAGTCTTATGCAATCAAATTCAAATGGAGTGGTCCTCACTTTATGCAATAGATCTTTATTCATACCTGCTTATGTGCTGTAATACGCTTTGAACTATTAAAGTAATGAGACTGTGCTTCCATGTGAAGTATATGGAACAGACTAGAGCTAGTGGAACAGTAAGCTCCACAGTTCTCACAACAGTTCATGATGAGGTTGTTAGCAGAGTGAAACTTTGAAAAACAGGCATTACTGCAAAGACTACGTTTCATGTTCTGGTATTTTACTTCATACTGAATCTAGGATTTAAAAAAAAGACTTAGTAAAAACTCTGATATTTAAGCAGAATAATCAGAGTCCCTCAAGGTTAAGAAATATTGCAACTTACAACAGTAGTCTTCTGACACATGCTGCACTTGGCTGGAATGCTATTAGTACATATGGTATCAAATGGTTTTCTTTTTTCTTCATATGATGAAAGACAAGATTGGCTGCAAAAAGTTTTACTAGTGGTAGTATCTTCCAGCTGCATACTGATCACATCCTTTAGATTTACAATGTCTCTAAAAATAAATAACAAGGGTACCATTAAACTCTTTTACCACAATTATTTCTTTCTTTTCATAAGCTAAATCACTCCCTTAAATAACCCTCTCCCCTGTTGTTTCATTTACCTGAAGAACTGTGAAATAGTAGGAACATCAGCCTTGAAATAAGAAAACCTGAATTTGGTACCTAGTTCTATCACTTACATTAAGTAACAGTGATTAAGTCATTTATATTCCCTAAATGTTAATTTCTTCATCTATAACGTTAAGGATTATAAACACATCTGATAGTACAGTTTGAGGATTACCTTGCCTGTATTAGTTGGTGCTAGTGATTATAGAGTGATGATGAGAAATCACATATTCATACCTGACAAACTTTGGAATCTACAAGACAGAGGATTTAGAAGTTTGATCTACAAATTCCTGGGGATTCTCCAGATACTTTCAGGAGGTCCACAGGATCAAAACTATTTTCATAATATTAACATGTTATTTGCCTTTTTCACTGTGTTGACATTTGAACGGATGGTGCAAAAGCAACGGTGGGCCCCTGCAATTCCACTCCTAGGTATATATGCCAAAAAACTGAAAAAAAGTACTCAAAAAAGTACATATACACAAGGGTTCCTAACAGTTACAACAGATAGCAACAGCCTAAATGTTCATCAACAAATGAACGGATAAACAAATTGTGGTATATTATTCGGCTATAAAAAAAAAGAATGAAGTACTGATACACATGCCACAACATGAATGAATCTTGAAAACACTATGCTAAGGGAAAGAAGCCAGACATAAAAGGTCACAAGTTGTGATTCCGTCTATATAAAATATTCATAATAGATAAATCCATAGATAGAATGCAGATTGGTGGTTGCCAGGGGTTGAGGGGAGTGAAGATAGGGGAATGGGGAGAAACTCCTTAACAGATAAGGCATTTTACTTTGGGATGATAGAAATGTTTTGGAACTAGATAGAGGTGGTAGTTGTACAATACTGTAAATGTATTAAAAGGTACTGAAATGGTTTTTGTTATATGAATTTCACCTCAATAAATAGGGAGGAAAAAAAAAAGCGATGGTGGGTAAAACTGCCAGAGCCTTATTTAGCATAAATCAAGGCAGTGACGCCAAAAGGTACCAGTATTCGCACTATTCACAACCATGAATTTGTTGTAAGTTATTTACTTTATTAAAACTCAATCCTTCAGTACATCTTTTTAAGATTCTGTGAGATGAAATGGGACGTAGGCATAAATTATTTCTCCTGCACACCAAAGTATGATGGTTGTTTCAAGGAAAATCTCATGTAGGAATGTTAAGAGTTAAAACCTGAGTTAGGGGACCTCCCTGGTGGCATAGTGGTTAAGAATCTGACTGCCAAAGTAGGGGACAAGGGTTCGAGCCCTGGTTCGGGAAGATCCCACATGCCACGGAGCAACTAAGTCTGTGTGCCACAACTACTGAGCCTGTGCTCTAGAACCCACATGCCACAGCTACTGAAGCCCAAGTGCCTAGAGCCCGTGCTCCGCAACGAGAAGCCACCGCAAAGAGAAGCCCCCGAGTAGCCCCTGCTTGCCACAACTAGAGAAAGCCCACGCGCAGCAACAAAGACCCAACGCAGCCATAAACAAACAAACAAACAAATAAATAACTGAGTTAGCTACTTTTTTCATGGAATACCTATTTATTTCAAAGAATGACTATCAGGGAAACTATTAACCAGAAGTAGGTATCTGGCAGATATTTTCTCAAAAATGATTAAGTAAGACTGTTACCTCAAGGAAAACAACTGGCAGTAGTTATTGCCAATGATAAAATATGAGATTTCACTGAAAATTAGAATTTTGGAAAACCTCCAGCTTGATAGCTTCCTAATATGTAGACTTTCTTAGTGAGATTAGTGATATTTTCTAAAATGTGATTTTTAAAATATTGCATAATGAAACACGACATTTAGATCTGCATACCTCAGGGAATCAATATTTTCCAAATGATGATAGCATGAAGCAAAAATCAGTTGTGGGTAGAACAATTCAAAGTACAAATAGACCAATACATTTTTTTTTTTTTTTTTTTTTGAGGTACGCGGGCCTCTCACTGTTGTGGCCTCTCCCGTTGCGGAGCACAGCCTCCGGACGCGCAGGCTCAGCGGCCATGGCTCACAGGCCTAGCTGCTCCGTGGCATGTGGGATCTTCACAGACCGGGGCACAAACCTGTGTCCCCTGCATCGGCAGGCGGACTCAAACACTGCGCCACCAGGGAAGCCCTAGACCAATAAATTTTAACGTGACAGTACAAAAAATTCATTGATATGGCTTCAGATTCTACATTGTAACTAACCTTTAAGAAACTGTAGTATCCTTTAAGAAAATTGTAGTATCAAAGAACTTCCACAATTATATGAAATGCTCTTAAAACATTCCTCCCTTTTCCAAATACTTATTTGTAAGGTCAGCTTTTCTTCAGACTTCAACCAAAACAACATTTTATAACCAAGTGAATGCAGAAGCAGATATGAGAACCCGGCCAGACAGTAAAGCAGTTTGCAAAACTAATAAAACAGTGCTCACTAAATTTTTCTTAAAATTTCTCCTAAATTTTAAAAAACGCTATTATTCAAAAAAAAAAAATTAGGTCAACATGCAGAGTTTATTACTTTTAAATGAGTTAATAGTTAAAAATTCCTCAGTTTTAATTTCCAACACAATATATGTATAGGTAGATGTAAGCTACATAAACTAAAGTTCTTTGGGTCTTCAAAAATTTTTAAGATTGTAAAGGGGTCCAGAAACCAGAAAATGTGAGAACTGCTACTACAGGAAATACCAAGATATCTGGCTACCTAGATCCCTCAGAATATCAATCTTTCAGGATAATAGTTTTCCAGATGAAATACTCCTGAAATCAACACTATTTTAAACCTCAATATTTACAAATTTTTAGTGTACAAATCTTCCTTGACTTACAATGGGGTTATGTCCAGATAAACCCATCTTAAATTGAAAATATCATAAGTCAAAGACGCATTTAATACACCTAACCTACAGAACACCATAGCTTAGCCTAGTCTACCTTAAAGGTGCTCAGAACACTTACCTTAGCTTACACTTGGGTAAAATCATCTAACACAAAGCCTGTTTTATAATAAAGTGATGAACATATCATGTGGTTTACTGAATATGGTACTGAACATGAAAAACAGAATGGTTGTACAGAATGATTTTAAGTGTATGGGTTGTTTACCCTTGTGATCACGTGGCTGACTGGGAGGTGGGGCTCACTGCCGCTGCCCGGCATCATGAGAATATCATACTGCATACTATCATACTAGCCCAGCAAAAGAACAAAATTCAAAATTCGAAGTAGGTTTCTACTGAATGTGTATCGCTTTAGCACCGCTGTAAAGTTGAAAAATCATTATGTAGAACAATTGTAAGTTAGGGACTATCTGTACTATAATCTTTCTGCCTCCTTAAACAGCACCAAAATTACAGGTTAATTTTCATTATCACAACACCAGTCATTTTACTGGCTTAAGATGTAGCTCTACATGCAGTATCTGAGTTGTGACAATTTTTTTCTAGGATTCACTGTGTGCCAAGCAGTGTTTAGGCCTTGGGGACATAAAAATGAGTATAATCTGGTCCCTAATGTCAAGAGGTTCATAGTCTAACTGTAGCATTATCAATTCTTTAATAACATTAATTTTACAATCAATGTTTTGGGAGTTATGAACACTATGGAAACACAGACCATGGAACAATTATCTGGGTGGCTGGGGGGAATAAGAGGAAGGAATGGTATGGGAATAGACAAAGGGTACAGATATTTGAGGCAGACCTTTAAGATAGTAAGAAATTAGCCAGATGGGAAGGAAGGCAGAAGAAATAGCACTGGCAGAAGCACTGAAGTCTGAAAATGCTTATTGGCTTTTACTGCTATTAGCATATTAGATTGCTAGCTTCTAATCTACTAAGGCCTTATTTAAAGAAAAAAAAAATCAAAAATGAATTTTGTTAAAAGTGCCTAAAATTAGCTTAACCAAAGGCTGAGCATAGGTCTGAACAACTTTCTTACAAATGAATGTTACATCATTAGTGCATAGGCCTATTTTAAACTCCACTAATTTCTTTCAGGACCTCTGGTTAGCTTCAATTGGGATACAGAAGTACAGAAATACACTTAAATACATAGCTCTCAAAAGAACAGTCTTATCTTTCTAACATGACTTTAAATGTCATTTTCAAAGTTATCTTTCATTTGGTTCATGAAACATAATAAAAACTACATTGACTCTAACACAACATTGTAAATCAACTATACTTCAATTTAAAAGAAAACCTATAGCGACTCAGAACAGATTTAAAATCACTATTGAAAAAAAACCTCATCAAAAACCTCAACTGATAATTAGCTAAAATCTTGAGAACTACATAACTAATACAAGAGGCTAATGAATGTACAGTAAAAAGTTCTGAAAACAGTAAAGGTTACTCTGAACAATGGACAGCCTCTCGCAGCCTACGCATCACTGTACCACATTTCCACCAACCTATAAAATAGTATTTTCTATCAAAACATTTTTATTCCAAAGGAAGTAAAACTTATTTCATGTTTTATTCATATTGGATTTCTTTGCCTTAGAGAACAACTTACACACTAAATCTTTCCTGCTTCAGCCTTTTCAATCTGTCATCTGTCTGGGAGCTCCGCTGAAGATGTATAATGGGTAAACTCCAAACACAGCAACATGATACTTTAACTTCTCAGAGCCTCAGTTTCCTCAAAACCAAAAGAAAATATTTGGACTGGATGATCTCTAAGGTCCCTTCCAGTTTTATGACTCTGCAGAGAAAGAAAGCATGCTGAAGAGAGTGCCATACAGCTCACAGCAAAAAAGAAAAAGGACAAAGTATAGTGTTAAAGGGTTTGCAAAGCACAAAAGAAAGGTAAGTAGAGTTCTGGGGAGAAAGACTTGAAGCAAAGGTTAACTCCTGAAGCAGCAGCCAAATGAGGAGCTGAAGCAACCAGTATAAAGGGTATGTGAGTTTGTTAAGAGAATAATAGTGACAGCCAACATTTACTGGGTTCTTATTACATGCAAATATTATTCTGATCACTTAAATATATTATTTAATGATCAAAATTCTTACATGCATTTAACAAAATAGATGGGAATACTAAAAAAGAAGTTCTCAATGCTTTTCGAACTTTAGCACGTATAGGAATCATTTGGGGATAAATGTAGTTCTGATTCAATAGGCCTGGGTGACACCTGAGATTCTGCATTTTTAACAAGCTCCCAAATGATGATGCTGTATAGTGGCTCAGGGATCACATAGAGTAGCAAAATGTAAATTGAGGAAGCAAGATTCAAATTGTGGCAATCTGATTCCAATACAAGATATTATCTGAAAGAAATTTATATTTACTGGCAAAATTGGTAGCCTATGCGTTTTCTTGTTCTGAAACAAAGACATTTAAACTTAACACTAGCATTTAATGAGTGCTAACAAACCAGAATTATAATACTATGGGACTCTCAAAGCACTGATCCTTTAGACATCTTAGTGTAGTGTTCAAAGTTCTGGACATTATGAAATCACTACTACTTCCCTTCTTCTCATCTAAATTGCTTTACATATGTAAAAACGTTAGCAAAAAAGACCCCAATAATAGTTCACAGAAAACGTAAAAATATTACATACATACATCTATGTTTACCTAAGGCTATTCAATTTTCAAAACAATTAAACTACTTCACTTGCCATTACAAGAGAAACATTAAATAACTTTACACCTTGGAAGGTCAAAAAAATAACTGTTATATGATTAAATTTTTAGTAGGTTGCTCACTATACAGTTAAATGATAAAATATAATGGGCACGCAATAACCCCACTTACAGAGAATTTCAAATGAAAAGAATAGGAAAATAAGTTTCAGAAGTCATTATTTAAAGGTGAAGAGAAACACAGCTCCTATCATTTTAATTTCTGGAAATCTCTTGATAAAAAAAACTATTTCTGAAGAATCTATTAGAGGAACTAAAAGCAGAAGTAGCTTCTTTTACCTAAACCTAGGTGATTACTTCTTCAGAAAAAAAAAAAAAAAACCATGCAGAAAATTACAACCAAGATTCTGATCAAGATCTATGTAGGGAAGTAAAAGGGGCCATAATTTAAAATTATATACTTTGAGCAGTTTGAACAAGTTCTCTTCGGAAGAGCTGGTGAATTGAGAGATGAAATGTATTCAGTGATGCACGGTGTGGAGCAGAAAAGCTGAGTAGACCCTTTCCTCTGATAAGCAGTTTGCCCCTTTTGAAGAATTTTTTTACAGCCAGAACAGGAAACCTGAATAGCTGTGGTTGAAACTGAGGGAAGCATCTTATTCATGCCAGATGATGCCAGAGAAAGCTGAATGCCTGTAGTCATCGGAGAAGCTATAAACACAAAACAGGAAGGAAAAAAATTAGTATTTACATAATATTAAGCATGCATTCTTCCATTATCTCATAGAGGTTACTTCTCTTGGACTTGAAACCCAAAACAATCAATGCACTATTCAAAGGCATTCTAAAAAAGCAGAATAAACTGGCTATCACATTGGTCAGAATAAATATGATTAACTTAAGTAATTCTATTACCATTGTCTGAAAACATAGTGTTTATTTTCAGGTCATTCTCCTGAGTTTTGGGCTGTTGGGCTTGACAATACTCCTAAAAAAGAGTTGAAAAATAATGAAAACGACCAGTCAATCAATAGAAAATGATATATTATGCTCAAGTCTGTTCAGTGAATTGCATAATTGAATTGAACCATGGTACATAAGTAAGCACTACCCTTTTGGTGACCTTTGGCTGATAACACCCATCAATTACTACAATATTTCCTACTGTACCTAGATATGACTTTATAAAGTTTTGTTAACAGAGTCCCTCACTAGCTACTACAAAAAGAGAGTAGACATACTCAATGATACCTATTTTCCCTTCTTGTTCTGATCACCAATAGCTAATTGTCTTCATAAAGTCCTTAAACACAAAAATTGTTAGGTTAGGCTGAATGAGTCTAACGAAGGAGGATTTTTTTCAGAGCAGCAGGCAATTTACCTAAACTTGATCTATGTCTTTGAATGTCCACTGGCTGAAGGAGCAACGGGTACTTCCTAGATGGACAATATTCCCATTGTCACCAACTCAATGGGAGTCATACCCTTACTTGGTATTGATTTACTTTAGCTATTTGTAAACAGAATACTAGAAATTAATTAAAAATGAAATTACTTTTCATTTCACTATAAATTTCAGCTGGTTCATATATAAACATTCTAAGGAAATTTGGCCCTACTTACAAAACACTCACAGCTTGATTCAGTTTTTCCTTTATAGGTTCTTTAGCATCTGACATGTTTAAAGAAGTTTAAGGATAAATATGAAACTAATTTGGATAAACAAATAATAAAAATTCTAAGAATTTAAAATGTACTAAATAATTCTACTACTTAATAGAGACAGCAGCATAAAAACATATAAGTAATTATTTGTATTGTTTCAAGTTAAGAAAAATGAAAACAAAAATGTGTTAACCTCAGTTAGGCCCATAATACCCTAAGCAAACCTTTTATCAACCCCCAAACCCACTTCCAAACAGTCCAACCTTCTCTCATATTCTTGCATATGCTCACTACAGCACTTACTGCACACCCTGTTGTTACTTGGTCAACTGCTTTGGGGAAGGAATTAAGATTTTCAACTGATAAACCAACACCTGCATAACTAAAATTTATAATTAAATGCTACTCTAGAAAATAGAAAATAAGGTAAAATATTTACCTGAGCATTGTCAGGTTCTGCCTTAATTTCATCTAGCCTCTTCAGTTGTGGCGCCACTGCCTTGTCACATTCACCATCTGTTGTTGATTCTTTCATCTTACTATCTGATGCAAAGAAATCCTCCAGTTCCAAACTAATGGGTTTTTTCTTGGAGAACAGTATCCAGATTCCTAAAATAAAATACGAACTGATAAAGAGTCTGATTTTAATTTTATTTATTTTGGCTGTGTTGGGTCTTTGCTGCTGCACGCAGGCTTTCTCTCTAGTTGCGGTGAGCGGGGGCTACTCTTTGTTGTGGTGTGCGGGCTTCTCTTGTGGTGGCTTCTCTTGTTGCGCATCACGGGCTCTCGGCGTGCGGGCTTCAGTAGTTGTGGTGTGCGGGCTCAGTAGTTGTGGCTTGAGGGCTCTAGAGAGCAGGCTCTGTAGTTGTGGCACACGGGCTTAGTTGGCTCTGCAGCATGTGGTGTCTTTCTGGACCAGGGATTGAACGTGTGTCCCCTGCATTGGCAGGTGGATTCTTAACCACTGCACCACCAGGGAAGTCTCAAGAATCTGATTTTTAAACATTAGTCCCTTCAAATATAGTAATTTTCTGGAAGCACAAAACGTTCTTTCACAACACTAGCTTCCTTCCCTCATCCATTACTCCCCAATATAGCTTTGCTTTCTGCCTTCTCCAGTAGATAAACCTTTATGCTTTTTTCTTGCATAGAGACTAGTCTCTATTTCTAGTCCCTCAGGTCGCCTCTTCCCCTCCTTATTGGTTTCTCTCATAGAATCATTTAAATACATTCAAAAATTTCTAAAGCTACTGCCCTCCCTCTGACTGTTCCTTCACTTGTCTTTGAAATTCTCTCCTTCCTTGACTTTTTTTTTTTTTAAAGGCGAAGGATTTCTTTTATTTATTTTCTTTATTTGTTTGGCTGCGTCGGGTCTTAGTTGCAGCATGCAGGGGTCTTTGTTGAGGCTGCAGGATCTTTCATTGCGGTGCGGGCTCTTTGTTGTGGCGCACAGGCTCCAGAGCACATGGGCTCTGTAGTTTGTGGCACGCGGGCTCTCTCCTTGAGGTGCACAAGCTCAGTACTTGTGGTGCATGAGCTTAGTTGCCCCGCAGCACATGGTACCTTAGCTCCCCAACTAGGGATCCAACCCATGTCTCGTGCATTGGAAGGCGGATTCTTTACCAATGGACCACCAGGGAAGTCCCTCTCCTTCCTTGACTCTTGAGACTCCAAGACCTCTCTCTCCTCCTACCTCTTTGCCAGTCTTTTTCTCAAACATTTATTTCACCTGCTTCTGAACATCTGTGTTCCTCCAAAGCACAATTCCTCAGGACTCTTCTTGCTTGCTCTATGGGCACAACCTGGGATTCAACTATCATCTATAGGCTATTTTTCCCCTACATACCTGAGCTCTAGCCCATATACCCAATTGCCTATTAAATATCTCCACTTGTATGTTCTACAGGTCCCTCAAGTCCAGGAGATTTAAAATCATATTCTTATATTATCCACATAAACCTGCTTTACACATGTTCCCTTTCTTGGGAAATGACACTATGGTATATACTCAATTTCCCAAGCCAGAAATCTAGGGACAGTCCTAAATGCCTCTTCTCCCACATCTAATCACCAAATTATATCAAATATACCTTCTAATTATGTCTTGAAGCTATTTCCCCATTATACTTAATTCCCCCCCCCCCCATCAACGGATTCCTTTTTGGTAAATAGTGTTAAGAAGAAACAACAAGCCCAAGCTGGCCTTAACTGTGCTAAGCCCCGCCAAGACTTATTGATAATTCCTAACAGAACTGTAGTTTCAGCCTCTCCAAGGAGTGGAATTTTAAGCCAGTCAGTTTAATTTCCTGGTCAGCACTAGTGAGGTAATCTGCCCAAGACCCCCTGCTTTCCCCTAAGGGAAGGTGACCCTGTCTAAACTAGTCCACTCTTTTAGCTTTCTTGTCCTACCCTCTTTCTGCCTATAAAAACGTTCCATCTTGTACAGTTCCTTGAGTGCCCTGCTATTTACTAGATGGGATACTGCCAGATTCATGAATAAGGTCAGTTAGATCTTCAAATTTACTGGGTTGAATTTTTTTTTTTCTTTTTAAACAACAGCTAAGGACTTCCCTGGTGGCTCAGTGGTTAAGAATCCACCTGCCAATGCAGGGGACACGGGTTCGAGCCCTGGTCTGGGAAGATAGCACATGCTGTGGAGCAACTAAGCCCGTGCGCCACAACTACTGAGCTCATGTGCCACAACTACCGAAACGTGTGTGCCTAGAGCCTGTGCTCCGCAACAAAGAGAAGCCACCGCAATGAGAAGCCCACGCACCGCAACGAAGAGTAGACCCCGCCTCAACTAGAGAAAGCCCGCGCGCAATGAAGACCCAATACAGCCAAACAAACAAACAAAAAAACTGCAAAAAAACCCCCCAAACAATAGCTAAAATCCAAAATCAATATAAAAGATTGCTGTGCATTCAAGCTTAAAAAAGAATTCCATTTTATAACTTTTGAGGAACTACAGGAGCCTTGGATTGTGTAAGCAGATAGCTCAGGGGGTCCCTGGAGAAAGAGAACCAGGAATGGCTTTCCTGACATAAGAGAACCCATTTTGGCCTAAGCCATTTTGTGATCTAAGCCTGGCCTCAATGCTTGGCCTTGAACAGGTCTCAGTAATTAATGATCTTGAGGGAATACAGAAACAAGGGAGGAGCAGTCAAGAAACAACAGTGCAGCCTTGGGGCAAGGGTCCTGGTTCCTCAAGGGAATAACAATATATCTTTCAGTTCTGCAAGAGCTAAGGCTCCTACCCAGGTGGAGGATGGAAAGATTATGCTGAGCCTCCACACTTCAATCAACTAAAGCTTGGACTCTGTCGACCTTTCCCCCAATTCTACGCTGAGTTCTCCTCTGCTCAATTCCCTTCGTGAACAGGCATGTACCCTTAGCTTAAAACTTCCTCAATTTTGCTGTTGGGGAGATACCGCTTTGGTAAAGATCCCCAGTGTTCTCCTTATTTGCTGCAAGTAATAATAAATAAATCCTTCCTTCTCCAGATCTTTGGCTTGGTTGCGTCTACTGGCTTGACGCCCACCAAGGGGCAAACCCAGTTTTCAGGTAACAACTGTTCAGCTCCAAGGCCTCTTCTCTCAAGGACAGACTGGTTCCTTGTGTTCTTCTTTTTCCTTAACTGAGGTCTATTTTCCATTTTACTTGTAGCTGCCACCTCCAATTCTAAATCCTTTGGAACTCTTTCCCTTCCTGCAATCCTAACTTGGCTGCAGAGGACAAGTCTCCTGGATTCCTCTTACATCACCTCCAA